TCACTACAGTAGCTGAAGGCTAAAACCGTCACTACAGTAGCTGAAGGCTAAAACTGTCACTACAGTAACTGAAAGCTAAAACTATTGTTACAGTAGCTGAAAGCTAGCACCATCATTACAGTAACTAAAAGCTAAAACCATTACAGTAGCTGAAGGCTAAAACTGTCACTACAGTAGCTGAAGGCTAAAACTGTCACCACAGTAACTGAAAGCTAAAACAAACCATTGTTAGTGTCTTAAAGCTTAAACCATTACAGTAGCTGAAGGCTAAAATCAAGTCTTGTTGCTTTGTAACAATAAAACAAAGCCAAGACAGCGTCTGAGCTTTCTCCCGCCACTATGAAAGGCAGGTGACCATGTCTTTAGGTGTTTGTCTGTTAGTAAAATATCGTGTTCTAGTGAACAGATTTTAATGAAATTCTCAGAAGCTAATCGTTGGATGTACGTCTACACCTGATTAACTCTCACAGTCAGTATAAATTTGATGAAGTTCTTAACCCTCCTGCTGCCCTTTGGTCAAAATAGCCAAGGGAGCCTCAGATTTAAAACCTGGTGGGTCATTCTGGCCCAAGGGCAGCAGGAGGTTGAGGTATCTTCCATATGTTTTTATGTTTTTTCTTTTTGCTGACAGTCGAATAAATTGTTTCCAATCCAGGTTATAAAACTCGTTAACGTCCATTTTGTTTTATAATCTGACTCGTAATTTTTTTATAGATGAACTCCTAAGGAAGGTCAAGGTCTTGTGCTGGAAACTTTCTTCCCCTCATCAAAAGTCTTGCTGTTGCATGACAGTCTGTCCAAGCAGCCGAAGAGTTTCTTCACAGGTTTATTTCCTTATTTCCTGGTGGAGCTGGAACACGATAAGATCAGACAGTTATCTGGAGCCAGATCTCCTGGGACAACAACCGTGACACCAACGTGCACACGCTCAGTTACGCAACAGAAGCTGAAGATACTCAAGGTTTACAACGAGCGGGACAAAGGACGGGTTAGATGGAGACAAGATAAAAGCTGACGGGTCACACAAAGACAGATAAGACTCAGGGTCCCCAGCTCATTCAGACATCTTGGATCAGTCCGTGCAAGAAGCCTTGAAGCTTCTGGAAAGATCGCAGTTCTTTGGAAGACGACTCACTGTGGAGAACCCTGAGGGGGGAACAGTCGAAAGAAGAAGAACTCAGTTCTTCGTCACCTGAACGCTGACTCAGAAGTCACTGTGTTGAGTTTCTTCCATGAAATTACTTTCAGCTTTTTAGCCACTCGTATGTCAACATCCGGCTCATTCAGGACGTGGTTGCTGAGACGTTTGGTGTCTAACTTTTAAATTAGAAAAAAAATATTTAGCTTCATTCATCCATTCATCCATCCATCCATCCGTCGGTCCATCTATCCTTCCATCTGTCCATCCATTCTTCTATCCGTCCATGCATCTATCCATCCGTCTGTCTATCTGTCCATCCCTCCGTCTATCTGTTCATCCATCCGTCTGTCCATCCATCTACCTGTCCATCCATCTATCCATTCATCTGTCTGTCCATCCATCTTTCCATCCGTCTGCCCATCTGTCCATCCGTCTGTCTGTCCAGCTATCTGTCTATCCATCCATCCATTCGTCGGCCCATCTATCCATCCGTCTGTCCATC